CCCCTGTCTCGTGCTCACATCCGCTCCTAAATATTCAAAATTTTTTGTGAACTTCACCTGGTCAAAACCATCAACCTCTTCAACCCGGACCGGCCCCGGCAATTCCCCTTGCGAGACCAACGCCTCAGTTTTTTCGACTGACATCGTCAATCCCCATTGTTTGTATAAGGTTTGGAATCCTAAAATCGTTTTGACCAGCTTCTCATATGTATCCGTGAGGAAAGCAGCATCATCAGCGTACCCAAGATCGCTGAGCTTCATGTGATCCCATGTCGAGTACTTGTTTAGAGAACCTTCATCCATGTGCCTACGTAAGATACCATCAATACGGTACGGAAGTGTGAGATGTGTATCCGCAGTGTGGTACCATTCTTCCATAACCGCCGCCAAGTATATGTTGAACAAAAGTGGAGCCAAGCAACAACCCTGTCCTAATCAGTGCGAAGCTCAAATTCTTCCGTGAGTTCACCCTCCGCACTGGCCCGCACTGTTTTTCCCGTATAAAACTCTTTGATGAGTTCAATCATGTTGCCCGGCACTCCTTTTGCCTTCAAAATCCCCCATAGTCCAGACCTGTTAACAGAGTCATAAGCTTTCATGAGATCGACGAACACGACATAAAGGTCGATCTTCTTAACCCGTGCCAGTTCTAGAGCCATCCTTAGCGTGAAAATCATGTCCACCGTTCCCCTTCCAGCTCGGAAGCCGCATTGCGTCTCCGGCAGTATTGCATTGCATTCCACATGTGCCACCAAGCGACCATTAAGAATTTTGGCAAAAACCTTACCAGGCACTGACGTCAAGGTCTCCCTTTTTTGGCAGCGGGACTAGATATGACTCTTTCCACTCTGTAGGCATAGGACACACTCCCGTCCAGATCTGGCAAATGATTTCGTGCAACGTCCGTTTACGTGTTGGATTTAGTGTGCCTTCAACAACTCCGCAGTTATTCCGTCAGGACCTGGCGCCTTTCCCGTGTTAAGCGTGGAGATTGCTGCAAGAGTCTCTTCGTAAGACGGTGTGTTTCCAAGGTCTTTACATTCCGTGACACGCGCAATCATCCTTATTCTATCTTCTGACACCTCTGTTTCCACATTGAGCAACTCCTCAAAGTATTCCTTCCACCTGTCTAATCGCTCTGGCTTTCCATGCAAAATGTTGCCTTTTTTGTCACGAATACGGCAGGGGGCGCGTTTCCCAGAACCAAACACGGCACGCAACTCCCTGAAACCCTTAAACTGGTGATTAGGTTCTTTCCGGTCAACTGCCTCCTGTATGGCCTGCGCCTTTGCCATCCACCACTTGTTAAGAACGCGACGCACCTTCTTTTTATTAGCCTTGCACACATTTCTGTAGCGCAACCTTGCTGCCTCACCTCCATCCATTGCGGCATATGCCGCAGCTTTTTCACGCGCCAACGCTCCCAGCTCCTCCGCATTATCCACCTGCCACTGCGGTCTTCGACAAGACAATTGTATGCCTAAAACCTTTTCGCCCACTTTGCGCAAAGCTAACAGTCAGTTAGGTTTTCGCCAACAAGCTCCGAAAATTCACTATTGAATTGTTTCGCAATTGACTCGTCCCTGAGTTTAGACAAATCCAAGTTGGGATTTCGCACCAGTCGTGCAGATTGTATGCTCCCAGTTTTTTGTCGACAACGTCTCATCACCCGAAGCGATGTTCGGACAAGGCGGTGATCCGTATCAAAATCCAACCCTGCCATAACCTTAACATTTGTAAACAATGCTGCCGTGCGACGAGAGGCCAATACATGATCAATCTGATGCCATTGCTTCGTGCGATTGTGCTGCCACGTGCCATACGTCTTATGCTTATAGTAAGTGCTCATTATTCTCAAGGGATGTTTAAAGCATCCTCTACAAAAATCCAGTCGGAGTCTCCCGTTTTCATTCCGCTCCGTCATTCCATAGTCACCCAGCACTAAATCATTACCAGCTTCCTGATCTGCTTCCACATCCGCCGCACGCGTTCCCACCCTGGCATTGAAGTCGCCCATAATAATGAGCTCCTCGTTCGCCTTGGTTTCCTGCGCCACCCTTCGGAGGTCCTGATAGAACGCTTCCTTATCCCTATCCTGCGCGCGGAAAGTGGGCGCATACACAGAGACGACATTGAATACACGTCCCTCAATGACCAGCCGTATCTTGATCATTCTTTCATTGACAAAATCTACATATGAGCCTGCCTCCTTCCATCTTCGCTGCATTTCTGAATTGAGTGCGAATGCAACCCCATATATCGATTTTGGTGCCGTGTCCGGTAACCCAGAAAACAGAAACGTATAGTCTCCTTGTTCGATAGACCCTTGGCCTTTCCACCTAGTTTCAGACATTGCACATAGACTCATCTGATGTGCTCTGAGTACCTCGCAGACTTCCCCCGGTTTAGTTGCTACCGCCCCCTCCATCGTCAGTATCCCATCCTGATTGGAGATACTAGTATGCATAGTGCGAACATTGACGGCCCCCCAGTGTAGTTGAAGTGTACGACGCTTCCATAACTGTTTGGCTTTCAGGCGGCCAGCTACCGCCTTCAAGAGGGGCTGTTCACAGTTAGGGAAACTTGGTCGAGAAAACGTTAAGCGGTCTTGAGCAAGAAAAGAAAAGGGAGACGCAGGTTGCTAGCCCACGCCCCCCCTGGGAGGACTCGGAGGTCGGGACCTCACAAAGTGAGGGACCGGACCGACCCCGAGGGCCCCCCCCAGTGCGGCTACCGTTAGCTGCTGCGTGTATCGGGATAGTGCAGGATGTCGTGCTGGGGCCCAATCGAGAGATAGTGACATTCACATCAGTACAAGAATGCAGCAGGCACACCTGAACACCCACCTACACTGCCTGGGTCAGCAGGTAGGCTTCTTTGAGGTGGTAGTCCGTCTTGGTCCAGGTCCCCCAACACCCCCATCCGAATACCCAGCCGCAAGTTTCATCCTCATTCTCGCTCTCAGGGTTCAGCGTGTAGAGGTTTAGGGTTTTAGGGATTCAAGCGTTTAGGTATCCTCATTCCTCCTCTGTCCGTGCTCCCTCCACCCCTCCTTCCTCCTTCCCCCTTTCCCCTCCCTTGCCCCGCGTTTGCTCCTGCTTTCAGTTGCACTACCCCTACCCGGGCCCCCACCCACAGGGCTTTGGGTTTGCGGGTTAGCATGATCTAAACCTAAACCCCTAAACCCCAACCCTGAGCCCTAAACCCTAAACCCTAAACCCCTAAACCCTCAACCCTAAACCCTAAACACCCTAAACCCTAAACCCAGTATGTTGGAGCCTTGTGGCTCCGGAACTGCCCTGAAGTCGCAGCAACTGAGTCGGCTGAGGCAGGTGCGCCCAAGGTTGAATGAGAATGCGGTTCCGTTAATCCAAGGTAGAACCCATGGGCCCCTAGTATGGGCCCTTAACCCTGGGATTCTTATAAACATACTATTACACCCTATATATACCCTCAAGGGACCCTAGAATCCCCTAAGGGCCCATGTTAGGGGCCCATGGGTGCAACCTTAGAGTTAAGGTGATCTTCAATATAATATACCCATAGGCCCTAAAGTAGTTCATTTTCGGTTCATATATAGAATCCTATAAGGTAATCCCAAAAAGGAACTACTATGGGGCCTATGGGTAAAGACTCGTAAGAGACGCTTCTATCATGTTATAGGGTGCTTCGTACAGGGGCTGCATTAGTTGGAAAGCGGTTTGGGGGGTGTGTTTACTGAAGTGATTGAGTGGACGGTGAGACAGCACTGTCCTGGGTGCCTTCGACTTTGACCGCTCGTCTCGGTGGAACGCTTTTCGACCGGATCGGAGCAGGCACGTGCTCTTCCACTGCGATGAAGGTAGACTTGCCCTTCATGACAAACTCCATGTCGTGCTGAAGCGCTCGGCTGGCACCGAGAACGTCTGGAATTGAGCCGAAAGATCTGGGGAACGGAGGGCTTCTGGGTTTCACACGGCATAGCTTACAGCGGCGCAGAACGCAAGAACACGAAAGTAGAGAGCTTTCTACAGACCATGGCCAGCAAGGCATACTACAGCTACAGCAACCCGAAACCGCAAACCTTGCAGATGCGTCTGCAAAGTAAGCGAAATCTCCAGTGATTGCTGGGGCGATGTATGGCATGGTAGCAGCCGCAAGATGACCCCGATCTGGAATCTCTCGTTCTCTCTCTCTCTCTCTCTCTCTCTCGCTCTCTCCCTATTGTATACCTTCAAACACTGGGTGACCCCTTCTGTACATGGTATTACCCCCAAAAAAGATAGTTTTTTGATCCCCAGCTAAAGCCCCAAAGTCCAGAAGTCACGGGCCCCTATTAACTCTTCCGGAATGCTACTCAAGAGCCTTCTCTATCGTAGACGACTCTAGCAAACCCTCGTGCCCGGGCAAGCGGGTTGATGCGCCACAGAATCCTAAACCCTACACCCTAAACCCTAATCTAATGGGCTGAGGGATCGCGTAGGCCCCATAGTAGTTCCTTTTTGTGGCTTATATTTAGAATTCTATTTGGGAATCCCAGAAAAGAACTACTATAGGGCCTATGGGCAGACATAGTCGTACACTAAACCCTAATCCCTAGATTCAATATTTTCTGTGGAGAGGGGGAGTAGGTATCGTATTCGGGGTTTACCATAAAAGAGATCTATACCATTTCCCGTAAATGGCGAGCCCAAGGTCAGCTATGCTCTCCCCCCTAAACCCTAAACCCGAAGCCCTAAACCCCCAACAAAGTCGAAAAGTGGGTCGACCTTCAGCCTGCTTTACTGCCCCTGAGCCTGGCAGAACCTGCTGGAAAAACTGCAGGCGAAGCACGGTAAGACCCCCCTCCAGCGTGTAGGCGAAATGGGCACCTGGCATGGGGCAAACGAGGCTGGCGAAGCTTAATTCTGAGCATGTCGTGGAACGCATGCTATGCTCCCACGCCCCTCCCATCATCAATGCTAGCAACCTGTGGATGACGACGACTAGACAAAAGACCAAGGCACTCCGTCCACCCGAACCTATGACACCAAGCTCCACCTGCGGGACACTGTGCGGTCGTCTCGTCGCCACAGCGCTGTGGCCAAGCGCTGGGAATGTAGGTCGCCATCAACTTGGGCGAAGGAATAGGAGTAACGGTGGGCTTGATATCTAAAGACTGTCAGTGAGATGCTACGGCGGGATGAAAAACATGAGGTGAGAGTGCAAACATTTGTTGCCCTCCACTGATATTGCACTGTTGTCGCATGGATCCTAGATGATCCCACTAAGCGGAGCACGAAACTCGAGGTCTGCGAATCGCAGGAGCTGGGCAAGAGCCCGCCGGTGGGTAGTCCCACACCACTCTCGCGCAGAAGAGATCCATCTAGATCTCGAACCCTCAGCCATTGAGAGTCTCTGCGGGCTCTCTGTCAACTCCACCTCTCCAGCAGCTTGGGCCGCAACCACGTTTGTTGAACCCCAGGGCAGATAGGGGGAGATCCTGCAGCAGCTCGCCGTATGGACCCAGCGAACTAAAACACGGTCCTGTGCGGCAAACGGCCTAAGGTCACTCGACAAAGGGCCTTCCATTCCCAGCTTGAGCCGTGCAGTCTCCTTGAGGAGCAGATCAACAGCAGCAGCTACACCACATGTTCTGCAATACAACAAGCCAAGCTGCAGAAACGAGTGGATGTCGTGAACAAGTTTCCTCGCCGGGATACCTGCATTGCTGCATCCAATCGACTCGGCAAGTGGAGCGCGCGCGTGATCCTAGCACTGCTTGTGCTCCGGAAGATCAGAGGTCGGAAGCGAATGTGTAAGATTCAAGAAATAAATGGGTGTTTCCAGAAGAGCGGCCTCTGTGTCTCTCGAAACCTTATCGAAACTGCTATGTTCTTGGTCTGGACATCATTGAAAATTTCAGGGCATGGTGCTAAATGCCATGAGCAATACCGCCACTCGAAACATGTACTCAAGCCAGTGCATGCATCCCCATTCGTTCGATGCCTCCACCACGGCTCCAACAGTATGCGCGTGTTGGTGTAAACATGGTCATACCTCAGATGAAAGGCCACAAGCTCCAAGCATGCCGCGAACTGCGTGTCTGTCTTCGATCCGAACTTCGTTGCGGGAAAGGAGACCTTGAGAACTTGAGAAAGAATGTCTTGACCCGGTGGGGTATGCCTGCCTCTACATAGGGGTTTCCGAAAATAGGGGACCCTAATATAGTACCCTAATTAATAGGATCCCTATTATAAGGACCCCAAAATAAGGTACCCTAATTTTCTGAAACTCCCACATTGACATGAAGGTAAGGGAGATCCGGGTTCCGATACTAAAACTTTGCACCTCTCCGAGCTGCAGGGGAGGCGGCCCGGTATAGCCCATTGAAGCATTTGTCAAGTACTTTGGCATAAAGCTCGTATCCGCCTCAGTAAGCTCCCATCTGCTGCCGTCGCCACCCGTATGACCACGAGCTGTCTGAGCAAGATTGCACAACTTATGACGTCCATGACAGTCCGTTCGGCAGGCTCCGGCATGGTCGCAACCAAGGACAACTAAGGCATGTGCCCACGACAAGCCACGGACTTCCTCAGCTTCCAAGAACACGGAATACAAGGGCTAGGAGCGGCAGCGTCAGCGGTAGTAGTAGTAGTAGTAGTAGTAGTAGTAGTAGTCGTAGTAGTAGTAGTAGTAGTAGTAGTAGTAGTAGCAGCAGTTCTAGTGGTGCTGTTGCTCGGACTTGGGGTAGGCGTAGGAGTAGGGCGGTTGTTGTTGTTGTTGTTGCTGTGGTGATTGTTTTGTGGTGGTGGTTGTGACTGTTGTTGTTGTTGTCGTTGATGTTGCTGTTGTTGCTGCTGCTGCGGCTGTTGTTGCTGGCTTCGACATGACATAAACGCGCAGAACCGACATGCCCATTGCATGGTCTTTACAGCGTTTCCTACACTCGAAGTGCCTTTCGCATCGGTGCCGTTGGTGTTTCGCGTGTCTGCAATGCCTCGTTTTCTGAGTTCCGGAAACCTCAGTATTTGCAGTGTTGTTTTGCCTTTGGGTAGTGAACACATCGACATTTACGGTGCTTCTTTACGGAAGTGCGAGTTGGGAAAGAGCGAATCCATAGCCCAAACTTACTAATGTACGTGACGCCAGTGGTCCATTGCGATGTGGGACAGGGAGAACCCATGGCCAGGACTGTGGGGGGCGGGTGGGGGTGCATGGGTCGGGGGGGATTTGCTCTCTGCGGTGTTTCCTTGCCTTCGCATGTCTTCGACAGCGACATACATTAATGCATTATATACACACAAGTACACGAGTGTTTGCATTGCCATATTGCGCGTGTGCCACGTGTTGGAGCCACTACAGGGGTTTGTTCTACTGCACTCTGCATCGTCAAGCTCCCGGGGTTTTAAGATCAAGGTCAATTTACCTAGTGCTGTTCCTGAGGTTCCCTATTGCGAGTATGGTATCCCAATTCTAACAGGTCAGGGCCCTATGAGAGAGCCCCTATGTTATACCGGAAAACCCTACCCGAACCCAATAGTTCCCGAACCCTGAAGGTAAACGTAAAATGGCCGAAGCATTCAAAGCAGATGCCCAAAGCATTCAAAGCCCGCAGTCCTGTAAAATATACCCGGGAAATGTGTGTGCAAAAAGCGAAAACCCCAGCCAAACGCAAATTCCTGTGTATCGCGATGTGCCGTAATTAACTGTAATTTACAGCACTTGTTCAAAAACTAAGGCTACAGATGAGAGAACTGTCCTGTTGTACAAGGCGTATTTTTATTTTGCGTCCTTTGAAAGATGGAGGGCGCAGAAAGCCGCGTAGATGCCGATGCGTTCGGCAGTTGCGACTACGTGGAAATCCAGACGCGGAAAAGACCGATGAAACCGAGGTTTTCGGCCCCTGAAATATATGAAACGCTGTTGAAAACGATGCAATCGACACGTGCGTAAGGCGTATACGCGAAGAATCGAGAATGTCCAACCTCCGAAAGTAATGATGACAATGATGAGGTATGCAAGGAAAAGTCTAGCTGGCAGATGAGGGCCGTCGCGACAATGACCATGCCTGTCCAACAAGGACAGCCTCCAGGCTCTGATTCCGTCATTCCAAGATTACGTTCGAGCCAAGGGGCGAGAATGGGATTCCAGTCTCGAGAGCTGGGATTGTTAGCAATTGCCACCGAACGCATTCCGCAATCCTTGCAGGGAGCTCAGTTCCGTAAGGACCTCCGTCAAAGAAGTCTCAAGCACCGTCTACGCATCCTGCCTCTGCATAGAATGCCCCAAAATTGACATCTTCGAGACGGAAGACCGACATCCTGGCAGGAAAGAGGCTACACTAAGGCTTTTTGCTTTCTTTTCAACCCTGCTTGCTGTTGCGCTCCGGCGCGGGCGACAGCGAAGACGCAGAACGGACAGCAGCGGCAGCAGCAACTAAGTCACCACCACCTTCAGCATCGCAAGCGCAATCTCCGGCATCTCATCATCATAGCGCCGCCGGCTCATGATGATGACTGCCATAATAATGGTGATGGTCATGTTAATGGTGCTGCCTCTGTTGCCACTCATGATGACCCAAAATGAGGTAGATATGAATACTGATGCTGACGATGACGATGACTTGATGACTGTTGAAGGATGGCTGACGACGATGATAACGTTGACGATGGCGATGAGGATAAGGATGAAGATGATGATGGTGATGGCTGACGGTGATGAGGATGAGGACGAGGGTAACGATGAGAATGAGCCAGGTGATGCAGATGATACTCATACTATCTCATACTCGTGCTGAAATTAGTGCTGCCACACGGTACACGTACTCAATTGCTTCGACTGTCGTGAGTGGAACCCGAGGCATCCAGCCTGGAACCGCGCGTGCCGTAGCGGCTCTCCCACGGCAGCGCGCAGTTGCGGTCGGGGAGGTTGGCCAAAGGACATGCGCGCAAGACGGGCCCGTCCTGGCGCCGAAGGGAATGTCAGATGCTTGATGCTTCGCTGATGCTTGTGGTACTTGCAGGATGTATCTGCAGAAATACGAGGAGTCAGAAGTGGTAGTGGCAGAAACTCACTGCCAATTCTGCGGCGACCCAAACACATACCCACAGCTGTTTCCTCAACAGTTGGTCACATCTTGTGCTTGGCCTGCCTCACAGGTCTTCCCGCGATTGGTGATGATGGGCAACAAGATGCCAACCTTCATGGAGGAACCCACCAAAAAAATCCCCTTAATTCCGCAAACTCAAAGTGGATAGACCTCAGCTAGGCTAGACTCATTTGTGAGGCACAAGGACGCGATTTTTCGAGTACCATGCTCTTTTCGCGTATTGGGGTGGAAGAACTCTTCGGCCTTGCTGTCCGCGACGTGTGTGGACTTTCGAAAATGGCAAAAACCAGCAAAGACCAGCACTCCAGCCAGGCTACCCGTCGCACATCAGGTCCCGGCAAAGAGCCGCAGCCGGAAGGAGATGCCTGCATTTCATATGGGAGTTTCCGAAGATAGGGGACCCTAATATAGTACCCTAAATAATAGATTTCTCATTATAAGGACCCCAAAATAAGGTACCCTAATTTTCGGAAACCCCCATTTCTATGCTTGAGTTGAACTTGATCGTGCAAAGACTAGCCGGCTTCGAGCCTCCTGCGTGACTCTGTGATACAGCAATAAAGCCGGTCACCCAGAACGCGCCCGATTCTTCTGTCAGCAATACTTTGTTTAGGGTTTCGGGGCTTAGGGTTTAGGGTTTAGGGTTTAGGGTTTAGGGTCTTCTAACATGCTTTCGGTAAAGCCTCCCCGGGGCCAACTGCCAGGCATTGGAGCGAGGCGTTGCAGTTGGACAGGGCTGTGGAGCCGTACACCTGTGCAGGCTGCACAGGGCTTCGTGGGACGGACTGCTTCGCAGGACGGTGTGCGAAGAAGGCAAAACTTGATGAGTGAAGGGAGCAACTCTCGACAACCCGAAAGACCTGGAAGGAGTGCGCAGCCAGCAGTAACTACCCTCACCACAGCAGTAATACATCCTGCGAGAGGAACTATAAAAGGGTGTGGGATCTGGCGACAACATTGGTGGGGAAACGGCAGTGGCTTTTATTTGGCTGCGCAGAAGTTTGCAACTCCGAGCTCCAGGTAGAGGCTCTCGTGCGCACCTTGCTGTCACGCATCGTGAAATAGTGGAGCATGTCACCCATCTTCCGATGGAAAGTTCCAGTGATGCCGATGTGGTTGTCGAATAGTTGCCTCATGGGCGCAACCCAAACCAGTGAGGAAGCCTTGCTAGGATGCAGAGTGGCCGCGCTGCTTGCGCATCAGCTCCCTACCTCCCTCTCTAACTATTGCAATCTGTAGCTGCTATAACTATAGGTGCAGCAAAGCCACACGTCTGACACCTCCATGTTCGCAGGTTGGTCCTTGCTCAAGAAACTATGGGCTCACATTGGCTGCCAAGGTCGGTCAAAGGGGTTCATCCACATGAGCCGTCGGCTAGACGGCTACACGCTCCAAGGACTCAAGATCTGCCGAGCATCCACGAAGAGGATTCCGACGTGCGCATTCTTCCATGCCTCCGACGCACAAAAGGCTCAGGAACTGCGTTGAAGTCCGGCTTCAGTCAAGCATAGTCTAACGGGTCGAGGCCAAAGGGACCTAGTGGGGAGCGCGAGACTCTGTCCTGCGACACAACTCTTCCTCGCCACGGTGCCAACTGTGCGGACTGGCTACAACTGTACGACCTGAGAGCTCTCAGACGGCACTGCCCCTGCAACCGCACATAAATAAAACTAACCTGTTACCGCTGATTCCGGTGGATCCGGATGCTGCATCCGATTCGGCAGCTGGTGTTGACACCAGCAGCTCCAAGTGCCAAGCACCAGCGGACTGCACACAGACTACATCACCACAGAACCCTTCGATCACTTCGATCCATAAGACAAGCGACCCTCATATGTGTGAGGTGGACGCAGTCATAGCTGTCCGGGCAGCTGCTCGGCCCAGCCCCCGCAGTGGAGCAGGATCTCAGCATGAAGAAGCCCACGACACATCCTGGGCAGCGCCACGGAACACCGGAACTGCGACGCCTCCCACAACCCAAACCCGAACAAAGCTGGCAACATTCGGGGGTCGATCTCCTGTTCGGGCGCACCATGAAGGCTTGATTAACGTCGCCCTTCCCGAAATGTCGGTGGTCGGTCTTTGGAGCTTTATGGCCGATTTGAGGCTGGACGTCTTGGCTTCATGCTGTAATCTGGGCACCATCGCCCAGACGAGATGTGTCGAGCCCGACATTGCAGACCAGGCACCGAACACCTCATTCGGCATGTTCACAGTGGCATCTCCAGCCTTCCGCTGGCATCTCACTCTGTCTTCCACACCCCGGCACATGTCTGCACGGGGTTCCGGCATCCAATGGTCCAATATCAGTCGGTCGTTGATGCCAGCCGAAAACAGCTGCTACTCGTCACTTCTTCCAGAGTCCCGTCCTGCTGCTGCACTTCCTCGCATGTATGTGGCCGCAGGAGGAAACCAATGTCCTGGCTGGCAACGGATGACGATGATGGTGGCAAAGACAAGGACCACGGCCAGCACCACCACAAACAACAAAACTAGAAGACGAGTGGCCCGAAAGCATCATTAGCCATGAGTTTTGGGGCCATGAGTGTCGGCTATAGAGAGTCTATAGAGAGTCTATAGAGAGTGTCGCAGAGTCAAGTGTGGTAAAGTCAAGT